CACGAGCGCTACTTTCTGCTGGTCGTTGACGACTACTCGCATTACACCACAGTCTTCCCCTTGCGCCGCAAGGGTGAGGTCACTGAGGTGCTGATCGACTGGATCCGCGCTGCCCGTCGTCAGCTCGGCGAGAGTTTCGCTCGGACCTTCCTGTTCTGCGTCTGCACTTCGACAGAGGTGGAGAGTTTTCCTCCGACATTCTGCGAGCCTTCTGTCGTGCGGAGGGCATCCGCCAGACGTTCACGCTTCCGGCCTCTCCGCAGCAAAATGGGATTGCTGAGCGCCGCATTGGCATGGTCATGGACGTCGCTCGTACGTCCATGATCCATGCGGCTGCTCCCCATTTTCCGTGGCCGTTCGCGGTTCAGTACGCTGCGCATTAGCTCAACCTCCAGCCCCGTGTCTCCATGCCGGAGACCACACCTACTCTGCGGTGGACGGGGAAGGTTGGCGATGCGTCTGCGTTCCGTGTCTGGGGATCTCGAGCTTTCGTCCGCGACTTGTCTGCGGAAAAGCTGTCCTCCCATGCTGTTCCCTGTGTCTTCCTTGGCTTCCCCCCTGACGCGCCTAGTTGGCAGTTTTACCACCCCACCTCGCGCCGTGTTCTGTCCTCTCAGGACGTCACGTTTGACGAGTCGGTTCCTTACTACCGTCTCTTCCCCTACCGCACTGCCCCCCTCCCCCCCCCCGCCGCTCTTCCTCGCGCCAGGTCCTCCCCCGGTAGACCCCCTCCCCCCTCAGGGTCCTACCCCCTCAGGTGTGTCCCAGGTAGACCCTGTCGAGCCGGTCGAGGTAGCTGTTGACTCTGGCGCTGCTAGGGGTGCTGAGCCTGCGGGTGCCGGGTCTTGGGGTTCTGACCCTGAGCGTGCGGAGCCTGGGGGTGCTGGGTCTGCGGGTGCTGAGTCTGGGGGTGCTGAGTCTGGGGGTGCTGAGCCTGGGGGTACTGAGCCTGGGGTTGCTGAATCTGGGGGTGCGGAGCCTGAGGGTGCTGAGCCTGTGCGTGTGGAGTCTGGAGGTGCTGAGCCTGGAGGTCCTCGGGTGCTTCATCCCGACGGGAGCCTCTCTCTCCACAGCAGCTGCGCGAGTGGTTTGCTCGGCGCTGGAGCCGTGCTGCTGGAGCTGGTGGTGCTACGGACGCTGGAGGTCCTGCTGCTGCTGGAGCTGCTGGGGGTTCTGGAGCCACTGGTCCCGGAGGTGCTCGTACTGGAGGTACTGGAGCTGCTGGGCCTGGTGGTACTGCTGGAGCTGGAGCTGGAGCTGCTGGAGGTGCTGGTGCAGGTGCTGCTGGAGGCGCTGAAGCTGGCGCTACTGGGGCTGCTGGAGCTTCTGGTGGTCCTGCTGGAGCTGGAGCTGCTGGGGGTGCTGGAGCTGGAGGTGCTGCTGGAGCCGGTGCTCCTGTGGGTGCTGGAGTTGGTGCTTCTGGTGCTGCTGGAGGTACTGCTGGAGCTAGTGGTGCTGCTGGAGTTGGAGCTGCCATTCGGGGTGCTGGTGCTGTCCCTGCTGGTTCTGGAGGCACTGCGCGGCCGCGGCCGTACTACGTTCCGCTCCTACAGCAGGTTCTTGGTCTTCCGCCTTCTACTGGTCCTGCTCCTTCCTTAGAGTGTCCACCGCCTGTCCAGTCGCAGTCACAGTTGCAGCCCGCCTCCCCACTGCCTGCTCCTTCTCCTTACACTGGTCCGACCGGAGGTCTTGCTGAGCGCCGTGAGCTTGCGTCTCGTCCTGCGTCGCCTGCTCGTGCTGCTAGCACTAGTCGTCGTGGTTCGCGTCAGCGTCCCCCTCCTGTCCCTGGCACGCACTGGATGGCTCTGCGCCCTTCCACTGCTCCACAGCGTGTCCCTCTGCCGTCTCCTCCTGCGTCCTCTCTTCCTGCCCTCTCTGACCCGGAGTCTGACTCCCTTCGTGCTGCTAGTCCTACTGTCACGCGTCTCCTGGCCACTGTTGTCACTGACCCTTCCTTTGAGTCCACTGCTGCGTCTGCCTTAGTTGCTGAGCTTGTCGACTTTGCTGCTCACTGTCGTCTAGACTACGCCGCTAGTCTTATTGCTGAGTCTGAGTCTGTCTGTCCTCCGTCCGTCGGGGGTGAGTGTGCTCTTGGCACGGACGTCCTTGAGGATAGGCAGGAGGACTTTGAGTGCTTTGCAGCCGCTGTACCTCATCTCGTGTCCATGCTGATTGCACCTGAGGGAGACCCGGATGCACCAGACATCCCGACCCCGCGCTCTTACGCAGAGGCGATAGAGGGTCCCTACTCCTCTCAGTGGCAGACAGCCATGGACGCAGAGATGGCTTCCTGGAAGTCCACGGGCACCTACGTTGACGAGGTTCCCCCACCTTGGGCGAACATCGTCCGTGGCATGTGGATTTTCAGGGTGAAGCGGCCGCCGGGTTCTCCGCCTGCCTTCAAGGCACGTTACGTTGCTCGAGGCTTCAGTCAACGTGAGGTGGTCGACTTCTTTCAGACCTTCTCCCCCACCCCGAAGATGACCACTCTTCGGGTGTTGCTACACGTTGCAGCTCAGCGTGACTACGAGCTGCACTCCCTCGACTTCTCCACAGCTTTCTTGGAGGGCAGCCTTCACGAGGCCATCTGGTTGCGCCGTCCACCTGGCTTCACTGGGTCGTTTCCTGAGGGTACCCAGTGGAGCCTACGGCGACCAGTGTATGGCCTCCGCCAGGCACCTTGCGAGTGGCACGACACACTGAGGACAACACTTGCGGCTCTTGGGTTTGCTCCTTCGACTGCTGACCCGTCGTTGTTTCTGCGCACCGATACTTCCCTGCCGCCGTTCTACGTTCTCGTGTACGTCGACGACTTGGTTTTTGCTACTGGTGATACGGAGGCGCTTGCCCTAGTGAAGGCGGAGCTGCACGAGAGACACACCTGCACTGACCTGGGTGAGCTGCGCAGCTATCTTGGCTTGCAGATCACTCGGGACAAAGCACGGCGCACCATTACCTTGACTCAGTCACACATGGTGCAGCAGGTCTTTCAGCGCTTCAACTTCACGTACTCCTCGCCTCAGGCCATTCCTCTGTCTACTCGCCACTCGCTCTCAGCTCTGCCTTCGGATGAGTCCGTAGAGCCGAGTGGCCCGTACCCAGAGCTTGTTGGCTGCCTCATGTACCTGATGACCTGCACTCGACCTGACCTGGCATACCCTCTTAGCATCTTGGCACGCTATGTTGCTCCTGGGAGACACCGACCAGAGCACATGGATGCAGCTAAGAGGGTGTTGCGCTACCTGTGCAGTACGTCGGGCATGGGGCTCGTGCTTGGAGGACGGGCTCGAGTTGTCCTCACTGGTCACGCAGACGCTTCTTGGGTTGACGACTTGGCTACGCAGCGGTCGTCACAGGGTTACACCTTCAGCCTTGGTTCCAGCTCTGTTTCGTGGCGGTCTACCCGCTCGTCTTCTGTTCTTGTGAGGCTGAGATCTACGCTGGGGCCATGGCTGCTCAGGAGTTACGCTGGCTCACCTACCTGCTGACCGACTTGGGAGAGGCGCCTCGTTCTCCTCCAGTTCTGTACGTCGACAACAAGGCCATGCTGGCCTTGTGTCAGGAGCACAGACTGGAGCACAGAACGAAGCACATTGCTCTGCGCTACTTCCTTGCTCGAGAGTTGCAGCAGCGGGGTCAGCTTCGTCTTGCTTACGTGGCCTCTCGGGCCAACACTGCTGATATCTTTACTAAGGCACTTCAGCCTTGTGATCATCAGCGCTTTTGTACTATGTTAGGTCTTGTGCCTACCTGGCCTCACTTGCTTACCTCTTGACTTTGCTTGTACTGTGATCTATATATACCTGCACCTGCTTGTTTACCTTTGCTAGGTTGAGATCACTGTCTTGCTTGTTCACCTTGATTTATAATCCTGCATGTGAACTGGCCTTGTGGCCTTGTACTTGTGCTCAGAATGCTTGGCGATTCATAAACTGTAAACACCAAAATGAAAAGCACACAATTTCACATTCCACACTACACAAATTACCTTAAAACAAATACCTTAAAAAAATCATCTTGCTCGACGAATAGCCGACAGTTTGACGTGCAAAATGTTTTGCACCCAACAAATTTGTATGGGACCATAGCTTTGTTTTTGCATATTTACAAGGCCCGTACTTTAATGCACCTTCATGACGATTTTCGGCATGACTCGCACACAAACGTATCTTACAAAACCTTAACGGTGACCACTTGTATAGATTTATTGAAACAAAAACCGATAAAAAAATCCGTAGTTGTGGAAATTTGCATGGGACCATAGCATTGTTTTCGCAAATTCATAAGGCCCGTACTCTAATGCACCTTCATGCCGATTTTTGGCTCGATACGCGCACAAACGTATGTTACAAAACCTTAACGGTGACATTATTTAATGATGAGCTTTCACTTGGCACACAACACAAATACATGTACTGAAACTCAAATTGAACCAATATGATTTTCATCAATTGGCATGTATGTTGGTACATTCCAGATCACAGCAGCGGCTGCATCTAGCCAATCCCGGAGCTCAGGCCTCCGTATCAAACAGCAAAGCTTGGCTATGCTTGAATCGCTTAAAAAAAGTATCAGAAGTGACAACGGCAGCGGCAACAGCGGCAGCACCTAGCCAATGTCGGAGCTGAGGTCGTCGTACCAAGCAGCAAAGCTTGGGAGCGGCCTTCCATCGTGATGATGCTGGTCCACCTCTATGCTCTGCTGACTGTACAACGGCACCTGCCATGGGCATATTCAATGTGTGCACAACAGCTCATCAATCGAAGAGCTCACCAGTCAAAGAGCTTATGCACAACTTCTGTTCACTATACGACACATTGAAATGCAAGTTAAAAAGCTAGTAAATTCCACGATGCGAACAACCAGCCTGCTGACAGCATGTGCGTTGAATGCAAGGGCAGGCCCGGAAGGGGCACGGGAGCACTGAGGTCAACTGATGCTGCTTGAATGCAGCACACAGCAGACATTCATTTTGTGTTTTATGATGCCAACAAACGTACCATGTTTGGCGTGTCTGCTGACAGCATGTGTGCTGAATGCATGGGCAGGGGCAATGCAGCGCTGAGGTCAACCGATGCTGCTTGGGTGAAGCACGCGGCTGCATGGTCGCTTTGGAACGGAAGGAACTGCGGAACCGGGTCCGATATCGCCTGCTGCACTGCAGAATCCGCCTTCACTGGCTCCTACAGAAGCCACAACTCGATATAAGCTCTTCAATCTCCAGTATAAGTTTGTCGTGTGAATACATTAATAAGAAGAAAACGTATAAAAGGACATTGTCTAACTTACCTCGGCTAATTGAGGGTCGTGGGGTTGAGAGCTGAGCCCGTCAATGTAGCGGCTGAGGTCAAAGTTGGTAACCGCATTGAGCCCTCGGTACTTCACTGCTGCTATGTCGTATGCCTCCGCTGCCTCCTCCTGTGTGGCTGTAGGCAACATACGGTAATCATTGAGCCATGCCACGAGGCAACCCAGAACCAGACACCACATCACACACCACTCCCCATACAGCACTCCTTACATACTACCCCTCATACACTGGTCCCCACACACCACTCACCAAAGGACCTCAGGAAGAGGTGCTTATTGCCCATCACAGACTCCTCACCTCCCGCACACCACTCCCCTCATAGACCTCTCTACAGCTCTCCACCCCTCACACGGTGCTCACCAAAAGTTCCCAGGTAGAGATACTTGTTGCCCATCACTCGGCCTATGCGCGCCTCCCACCGCCCGTGCTGATGGTGCCTGCACCACGGGCCAGGGGAGGGCGGACGTTACTTCACTGCACAGGCAGAGCAGCCAGAGAAAACCCCGACTGCTTCCTGCCGGCCTTACTGTACCTGGTAACCCCTTGCTGCTTGCACACACCTGGCTACTCCTCTGCGTGAGCGCCCGCTTACCTCCTTCTCACAGCCTATATCGCAACTCGTCAAGCCCCCTACCTGCTTCACCGCCCTTACTGTACCTGGTGACTCCTCGGTACTTGGAAGCCCCTCTGGAGAAGCCACAGCTCTTCCTGCTCGCCCACGCACGCACAGAACGAGAGGCAGCACGGCAAGCAGAGGCAGCATGCAATAAGAATCCGTCTCTAGACACCGTAGTAAGACACCCTACTTGGCGTCCTGGCGTTGTGTTCTACAGCCCCAAGACACGGAACTACTCCAATGAGTTTCCACTCCCACCAAGTTGGTGCCAACACCCGTTGCAATCCCTTCCGCATCAGCTTCTGGAGCAGACACAATGCCTCTTTCGCTGCACACACTCCCCCAGCATCATGGCACTACTGGCAGAGAACGGCCTATCAGCTATGGCAAGAAGGTGTGTGCCTTTGACAGGCCCACAGGAAGGGGCTTTTCATGGACTCGTAGGGCAATCGCTGTGCAGCCTTAACCTCCTTTGCACCCAGAGCAAGAGGGAAGTGCGTTGAAGTTGATGGAGCATGGAGCATGGAGCATGGAGCATGGAGCATGGAGAATGGAGAATGGAGCATGGAGAATGGAGAATGGAGCATGGAGAATGGAGAATGGAGCATGGAGCATGGATGGAGAATGGAGAATGGAGAATGGGATGGAGCATATAAACATGGAGCATGGGGCATATGAGCATGGAGTATGGGGCATGGAGCATGCAGCATGGGGCATGGGGGACGGAATATGTAGGAATACATACCTGCGGATGGAGGCGACGTACTCGTACTTTGAAACCCCCTCCATCTCTCTCAACTCCCTCTCGTAGTTCTCAACCTGGGAGGACAGGTAGGTTAAAGGCGGATGCGATAGAACTTGTGAGGAGGAAAGGCATGTGAGGGTGATGATGGGGAGACAAGGACGGAGATAGCAGGCATGGGTGGGCGTGGGACCCCAGAGCTACGGTGCAGCAAGGTTGTGTGTGGTGAATGAACGGCGTGGTAAGCTAGCTGCTCGCCTGTGATGCGTGTGTGATGTAGAGAGAAGTCGGCAACAGCAGCCGTGGCACCCCAGTACCAGGGTGCGACAGGTCGTGTGCAGTAAGGGAATTGCAAGGAAAATGAGCTAACTAGTCACAAGTGCTGTGACGTACAGGGAAGTTAAAGCAGCCGTGGTGCCCCAGTACTTGAGAGCAGCAAGGTCGTGTGCGGTGATAGGGTTGCATGAAAGATAAGCTAACTAGTCACATCAGTCCAGTGACGTACAGGGAAGTTGGTAGCAGCCGTGGGACCCCAGTACTTGAGAGCAGCAAGGTCGTACGCCCTGGCAGCCGTTTCATCATCGTCGTACCCTCCTGCAGTTCAAAAAGCCGAGCCTGGTCACACCCATTTCACTGGGAGAGAATTTTGAGCTGGGGCTTGATGTGCCAACGCAAAGAAGCAGCGTACGTACCCAAGTAGACTGCAGGGAAGGCGCAGGCACAGAGGATAGCGTCCTCGAATAAACAGTTAGAGATGAAGATTTATGTTGTGAAAGTTAACCAGGATACCAGGACGGAACAAAATACAGAAATCCATGAATCCAAGAGCGGACGCACCTTGGCGGCCTCTCTTGTTGGTGCCCTCCTTGGGGCATGAGTTGTCCCACAGGTGAGCCTCATAGCGCCCTGTCCAGCGGTGCCTGCCAGCACACAGATAGCCAAGCATTCAGACAGAGATAGCCGTGTTTTAAGCCGTGTTTTCAACACGGGTTATTGCACAGGTGAGCCTCATAGCGCCCTGTCCAGCGGTGCCTGCCAGCACACAGATAGCCAAGCATTCAGACAGAGATAGCCGTGTTTTAAGCCGTGTTTTCAACACGGGTTATTGCACAGGTGAGCCTCATAGCGCCCTGTCGAGCGAAGTCTGCAAATAAACAGACAGACACGTGTGAAAGCGACTGGCACTGAGCTGTCCAGTTTCCAGACGCCTCAACACTGGATTATCATCACGACACGAGACAACAAATCCCAGTGTAAACAAAGCGTATTTTGCAGAATCAGCAATAACCTTCACAGATGCTTTACATGGCAGCAAAGGGGTGGATGGAGGGGCATACCAGACCAGAGCCCCCACCTTGTCACTCCGCGGTAGATGGAGCTCCTCTGGCTGCTCACGCCGCCTCCCCGCTGCCTTGTTGCTGCCTTCCCCTCAGTCGCTGGAGGGACAGCACCACTTAGACTGCCAGACCCGCCCTGAGTGCCGGCAGTGGCAGCCGTGTTGGCAGTTGCAGCAGTGGCAGGAGGAGGGAGGTCTCGAGCGGATTCCGCATTGCGTCCTGGTCAAGGAACGGTAGAGTAACCATGAGGTGTACTGATAGTAGCGAAGAGAACAATGGCTGACACGAACAGGTGGTCTCAGCATCAGCACAGCCAAAGGGTCATGGCGGTCGCACTGTGACATAGCAGGAGCTGATGTCAACACAGCCAACAAATTACGGCGAATGCAACATGAAAGAGCAAAAGCGCCGGTCTCAACACACCTCATTGCTCTCATGATAATATCAATTTGACAGAACAGAAGGGCTGCTGTCAGCACACCCAACCCAAGGGTGCCTCCAAGAGGAGGAAGCGCGGAGGAGGGTGGGCGGTCTCACCTCGTCGCTGCAGAATGGCTGACTGTTGCCTCAGACGGCTCTTCTTGTTCGACATTGACGACCGACTCTCTCTCGCATGCGTCTCCCTCTCAAGATTCTCATGCATCTGCCTCTCCTCATGCGTCTGCTGCTCAAGCGTTTCGTTCTCTACTGTTTCTCTCTCGAACGTTTCTCTCTCAAGTGTTTCCCGCGCATGCTTCTCCCCCGCTAGTGCTTGAGGACCAGGGTAGAACCCAGCGGCAGCCGCTGCACTGTCAGAGAAGAAGCACCCGAAGGCGGGGAGGGAGAAGAAGGGGTCCTCAAATTCCAGATTCCCGTTGTCCAACGAAGCCATGAGATGCAGGATGTGGAAGGTGACTGCTGTGATCCCAGAACGAGCCACGGAACATTAATCCTTCTTTATTCCTTCCCCCAGGTCTAAAATCCGGGAAGTGTATTTTAGTCTGTTTCCTGGCAGGAGGGCAAGACTCGGGGAGCGTCGTCTGGGAAAATTCGCCTGACGTTTTGAGTTTTGGTGAGCATGCTTGCAGGGGTTGTGGAGGGTCGGTCAGCGAGAAATTTCCGTCAGAAAGCGGAGTGTTTAGCTCGAGAACGCTGTCCATCGCCCCTGGTAATACCGCCACTGGTGGAACCACCATACGGGGAACAATTTCGCACGCGATATTCTATGACTAATGCTGTCGGCACGAGATAGAGTGACAGGTCTCGTAAGACGCGCCGCTCCGCGCCAAGGAACAGAAACGCTCCCTGCAACCGGGCAGCAAATCCCAAGATTCTATTTGCTGGGCGGTAGGAATTCCACCCATGGCACTCTGGAGCTGGTGAGCCCAGCTCGCGAAGAATTCAAGTCGTTTGGTCCCGCTAAGCCGTTCGATAAGGCGCACTGATTGATCGGACGTACAAAACGCAGCTGCAGCTGCAGCAAGTTGACGGGCTACGACGCGTCGCATGTCCTGAGAATGTCGCGACTCGCGATTCAACTCAACCCGTTGCAGTGCAGTCATGGGGAGTGACGCCCAGGGTCGAATCGTCGTCACTGCTCCACCTCGCCTTGGGAATTCATTCCCAGAGGCGACACGGTCAAACTATTCCCTTGGCCAGCAGTGGGGTTTGCCTAGTGGCGGCAATGGAAAATGGCGTAATCCACTTCATCCAGTCAGGTTGCGGAAATCACGCGCGTCATACCCGTCGCAACCTCTGCCCGACAGCAGCCCTAAGGCACATAGGGTTGGTGTGGCATGAATCTTCCAAAAGATCTTCGCTCCTGCCATACTCAACCTTTGTAAATGTTACATAGACCGTTGTACAACGTAATACACCTCATGGAGCCACATTCAGACAAACATATTCCCCCGGGTACACCTCACACAAATCTCTACAACAAACAACGTATGAACATTTGTATTCGTTAAACCGAGTTTTACTGTGACGACGACAACTTCAGTTCCCACCCCACCCACTATTATTTCTCAACAATCTGAAGACACTATTCCATTTTCTGAATTCTGCCCTGCTCAGGCTGATAGCAAGGCTCTTAGTCCCGCCAAAACCGCTTGCAATGGGGATTCCGTCCGAGCAGTCACAAGGCGCCGCGGCAGTGACTCTCACGGCTGGGAGTGACGTAGCTCCGAGAACAGCGATAGCCGTAGCCGATTGGTGCAAGGCACGTGGCGGACTCGCAGTGGACGTCGTGCAGGCCGCAGCCGATCAGGTACTCTAGCTTAACAGATTAAGATGCAATACTGGATCTTAGAACCTCCAGTTCCATCGGGCCGTTTTCGAAGGCGGTTAAAATAGTCGGTTGCGACGCGAACGTCGTAGCTGTCTGCCGACTGATCAGACGCCAAGTGCTGGCTGTGGCGCATTGGGCCGTGTCGATGCGGCTGATCGTCAAGCCATCCAGCCGCCGCTGCATGTTGGGACGATCCGTTGGTTTGTATGGAATGTTTCACTTTCGCAGTTCGCCATGATAGAGGTGCATACGAGAGAGGTAGAGGGTTTTTATAACCCTTGCTAGCCGAGGTGTCACAAGGTGGGGATTCCATGCCTCTTGTGAAATGCGAAGGCTTTTGATGCTCGTCGGCGAGTATAGAAGCTGCGTGAGGTTCCCAGTGCCGAATTCCATAAGATAACGGTCAGGACGCTCTGATGGCCTACACGTCAGCCTGTTAGGAACGGAAACAAAAATTATGTTCAATGGCGCTCGTTTCTTTCTTTGGTCCCCTCGCTCGCGCTGCAGCCAGCCCTCTGCCCCATGAGCACACGAGAACTCGAGCACACAGGCACCCGAGCACTCGAGCGCACCAAAGGGACTGTACCCGTTGTTACAGGCCATCTGCTCCCTTCCCTTGTTCCCTTCTCTCCCTTTTACCCGTTCCCCGTTTGCTTGTTCCCTTTTCCCTCTTTCTCAGTTTCCTCCGTTTCCAAATTTCCCTTTTCCCTGTCCCCGCCACCCGGTTTCTTCCTTACGCCGCCCCCTCCCTCATCAGCGCGGTAAGCAGGCAGTCAGTAACGGGCGCTACAGATTGTGAAGCGATTTCAAAGTCCCCTCCCGCCACCCCTTCCGTCTGCAGGCCGCTCTCTCCCACATCAGACTGTAGCGGGCGCTGAAGCTTTTAAGGCGCCTCAAAACTCCCCTCCCGCCTCCCCTTCCCTCCTGCAGGCCGCCCCCTCCCTCGTGAGCGCGGCCAGCAGCCAGCCTGTAGCGGGCGCTACAGCAGTGTGGGCGGCTCTCGCTCTGGCGACAGGAGGCGACGCCGCCAATGCGCTGCTGGGGAGGGATGGCGCCGCGCGCGCTGAGGTGAGGACAGGGGTGGAGTGGAAGGGGGCCAGGCGGGGAATGCTCTAGTGGCGATGGCTGTGCTGGGGGTAGGGATGGGCGCACACTCTGCAGGGATGGGCATCAGAAGAGTGGATTGAAGGCCACGTAACGGTTTGGAATGCTTGAGAAAGATTGTGAGGGAAAGGGGGGGAATTGTAGTTCAGAAGCCTAGTTGCTATGCTTCCTCTCCACCACCCTCATTTGCCCCTCTTTATCCGTCCCCTTTTTACCTGTTTCCGTTTACACCTCATCTACCCCAACAGGTGACTCAGTGGCTTCGCCATCCCTGGGTCGTCGGCTCCCTGGCCTCTCTTGCCACGTCAGCATGCCCATCAGCATCCACGTCAGCAGCTGTGCTGGACCCTCTCCCTCGCCTGCGCGCCCTCAACGCCTACCTGACTCCCCGCTCTGTGCTCGTGGGGCCAGGTGTCGCAATCACATTGGCTGACATTGCAGTCTTCGGCGCTGTTCACGATGATGTGGTGGGTTCATGATGACGTGGCAGGTTCATGATGACGTGGTGGGTTCATGATGATGTGGTGGGTTCATGATGACGTGGTGGGTTCATGATGACGCGGTGGGTTCATGATGACGTGGTGGGTTCATGATGACGTGGTGGGTTCATGATGACGTGGTGGGTTCATGATGACGTGGTGGGTTCATGATGACGTGGTGGGTTCACGATGACGTGGTGGGTTCATGATAACGTGGCAGGTTCATGATGACGTGGTGGGTTCATGATGATGTGGTGGGTTCATGATGACGTGGTGGGTTCATGATGACGTGGTGGGTTCATGATGACGTGGTGGGTTCATGATGACGTGGTGGGTTCACGATGACGTGGTGGGTTCATGATAACGTGGCAGGTTCATGATGACGTGGTGGGTTCATGATGATGTGGTGGGTTCATGATGACGTGGCGGGTTCATGATGACGTGGTGGATTCATGATGATGTGGTGGGTTCATGATGACGCGATGGGTTCAGGAAGCATCAAGTGGTGTATGCGTATGGGCATGAAAATGGCCTTGTTTGTGTGGTTACCGGAATTTTGAGTGCACCAGTATGCATGCGATGGTGAGCACATGCACACGCACATGCTTGTTAATCGATGATGAATATGTTAAACATCGTGACTCCATTCAATTGCTTGGAGCCTCATGGCAAGTCAAGCCCTCACCTCCAGTGCTGCCACGAGAGGCAGGAAGGGAGGCCTGGTGATGCAAGCAGGCAGAGCAAGTGGCATGTGCACCACGCACCACTCTCTGCCTCTCTGTCGACTCCTCCTCCCTCCCTGCCTGCGCACTCTTCCCCTTCCCTCTCCCGCGTGTGTTCTCTCCCTGCACCCCATCTGCACCAGGCAGGCACTAATCTCCTCGTCACTGCCTTCCCCTTTCCACCTTCCGCCTGCGCCTCTGCGCGTATCTCTCTTTCCCACGCACCTGGGTGGTGTGTTGTTCTCCTCGCAGCTGTTGGTAACCCCGCGTGAGTGAGTGACAGGACGAGCTGCCTCACCTCATGCGCTGGATTGTCGTGGTGCAGATCAAGAGGCACGTGCACCATACACACACACTAATCCCTGTCCCTCTGCCTTCCCATGCCCCCTTTATGCCTGCTTGTTGTTCTCCTCACAGCTGCTGGTGACGCCGTGTGACTGACAGGGATGAGCTGCCTCACCTCATGCGCTGGATTGACCACCTGCAGAGCACGGGGGCACGGGCATGTGCAAGTGCACCAGGCACGCACTAATCTCCTCTCCGCACCCCCCCCCGCCTTCTGCTTCCCCCGTCCGCCCGCGCCTATGCACCTGTATGATGTTCTCCTCGCAGCTGCTGGTGACCCCATGTGACAGGGACGAGCTGCCGCACTGCACCTCATGCGGTGGGTGGTCCATGTGCAGAGCAGGGGGCACCTGCACCAGGCTCTAATCTCCATGCTCCTGCTTTCCCCGTCCCCCGTCCCCCTTCCGCCTCTGCACCTGTATAATCTTCTCCCTGCAGCTGCTGGTGACGCCGTGTGACAGGGACGAGCTGCCGCACCTGATGCGGTGGATCGACCTGGTGCAGCACAAGGGGCATGTGCGGGACACCTTCTCGCACATCACTGTCTACACTGCCAAGTTTGACCCTCCTGTGAGTGAATAGAGGGCTGACGCACACAGACATAGACATGCAAGCACACACACATAAGATGCACGTGCAGCAAGCGAGGGGCATGTGGGGCAGACCTTCTCGCGCGTCAACACCACCACGTTCGACTCGCCTGTGAGTGCGTGGAGAGATTCGACGCCCAAAGACCTGTACACAACACAAGCATACACGCAAGCAAGCATAGAAACAACGCACATGTAGCTAGCAATAGCAACGGAGGAGCATGTGGGGCAAGTGTCGGGCGTTCTCGCACCTGTCACTGCCAACACTGCTAAGTTCGACCCGCCTGTGAGTGCCGCTCAGCCAGTGCATGTGCACTCACATACGCATACGCGTTTGTGCGGGCATGCGCATAGACACACCCGCACCCACACACACCCGAAAGCATTGAGGCATGCGCAAATGGCTGTGTTGTGTTCTTTTCATCCTGCTGCTGCCTTGGTTTCTTCTGCTGTGCTGGCCATTGCCATTCGCTTGGCTTGACGACTTGCTTCCGTTACAAGCTGGCTCCTGGTTTGGACTCACGGGCTCACCCAACATTGGACGCTCACTTGCATGTGCTATTGTCATCCATGTGCTGCATGGCATGGCATGTGTGACATGTATGGCATGTGTGGCATTTGTGGGATGGGATGTATGGCATGTATTGCGTGTGTGGCATGCGTGGCACGAAAGGCATGTATGGCGTTTACGGCATGCTCTTCTGATTCCACCATATCAGGCACCGGTTCCTCTTCCTGCCAAACCTGCAGCGCAGCCGAGCCAGTCATCAGGTTCGGGAGGTGCCAAGCCTGCCACAGCAGCAGCGGGGAAGGCAGCTGCAGCCCCGGCAGAGGCTTCAACGGCAGCAGCTGCTCCGGCTGCTGCCCCTTCCACCACTGCCGCACCACAGGTGAGGGGGCGTGACCCAGTCTTGCGAATTTGTGAAGGGAATGTGTGTGGTGATGAGCATGTGCAGTGTTACATACATGGTACTTGGATTACAGAGAGCCTTGTGGATATGGCACTGTGTTCTAGCGTGCTGCTGTTTGTCTCGGCAATTCCAAACTGCCAGCAAGAAAATTGTGTTGTGGAGACACGTGGTGGGGGGAAGAAGATACAGCGCACGTGTTTTGTGATTGTTGAGACGCACCACACTTGTTGCGCAAATCCTTTAAGCGAACGAATCCTTGACTGACGCAGTGTATGGGAATCGAAGCTGAAGGGAAACAGGGCATGCGACTCACGAAACAATCACATTGAGACAGCATTGCGTCTTCCATGTCCCACTTCCCTCTGCTCCTCTCAGGGTGACGCGGCAGGCAAGGGGAAGGGGAAGGAAGAGAAGAAGGGCAAGGGGGAGGAAAAGAAAGGCGAAGCGAAGGAAGGGGCGGGTGGAGGGGGAGGAAAAGGGGCGGACGTGAGTGTGGGCATATTGGACATACGAGTGGGGCAGATCAAGAAAGTCTGGAAACACCCCAATGCAGACGCGTAAGAAAACCTTAACTCTTAGCCTTCTCTTGTCCTCGGCTCTTTGTCTTGTTCTTCTTGTTGAGACGAACAGTTGCCATAAAACACCATTGCTGCACCTCCGTACCACCACCCCTGCACTGCACCCACCCGCACCCACCTGTCACGCTAGCAAATCCAGATTTTTCTCTGTTGAACTGACTCATTCCCTCGTCTTTCCTCTCGTCGCACCCCCTCCTCTCTCCTCCCCTCTCCCCACCTCACCACATCATTTTTATGATATGGCGGAGACTTATGTGGCGAGGGCAGTGAGGTGGCCTATGACCCCTGTAATCACATGCACATGCACATGTCCCCACTTCTCCTCCCCGTGCATTCGCCCACCAGGCGTGCAGGCTGTATGTGGAGGAGATCGATGTGGGGGAGGGCAGTGCGTGCAGGTTGACAAGTGGGCTGGCTCCCATGCTTCGCCGCGTGCAACCGTGTGATTTCAGTCTTCTCCTATCCCCTCCCTTTCTCCCCTGCAGGCTGTATGTGGAGGAGATCGATGTGGGCCAGGGCAGTGCGTGCAAGTTAACGAGTCGGGTGCCTCCTATGCTTTACTGCGTGCAAACATGTGTTTCCTTTGTCCTCTCCTTTCCCTCCTCCCGTGCAGGCTATATGTGGAGGAGATAGATGTGGGCGAGGGCAGTGTGCGGCAGGTGGTGAGCGGGCTCGCCAAATTCGTCACAGAGGATGAGATGATGGTGGGTGGGGAGGGGGGGATGATGGTGAGAACGAGAGAAGGGTGAGATGATGGGAAGCGGGGAGGACAAGAAGCTGGCAGCCCTATCCCACCGTTCTTTCTCTTTTCTCCTTTCCGCTCAGTCTCTTGCCAGCACTCATTTATTCTTTCTATATGCGAGTGGGCAGGGAGGGCGTGCGTGAGGTGCGTAACTAGAGAGAGTGAGAGCAGCGAGAGCAGAGCACTGACTCGCAGCCTTTCCTGTTCCTGTTCCCGCCATATGCACGTGCCTGCGTGCAGGGTATGTGGGTGGTGTCACCGTGGTGATGCACAAAGAGCGAGAGAGAGAGTGCTGGGAGGGAGTGCAAGGCACTGACTCACAGCCCTTCCTGTCCCCCCATGTGTGCGTGCTGTGACTGCATGCAGGGCATGCGGGTGGTGGTGCTCACAAACGTGAAGCCGGGGAAAGTGAGGGACGTCGTATCGGCCGGCCTGGTGCGTGCATGAGGCCTCTCTCTCTCCTCCTGCAAACCGCCGTGTCCTGTTGACAAGTAGTTGAAGCACGCGTGCACGTGCTGGTTCATGTGTTAGGCGTGTCCATCCCTCCAATGTACCTTGTGCGGTGGGGAATTATTTGAACCATCCACCAATCCCTTCAAAAGCCATTCAACCTCCTTGTATGCCTTTTCTTCCTTCTGCGCACCCCAGCCACCTGCGTGCTGTCACCTCATGCGCACCTCTCTTTGTCCTCCCACCCCACCCGTTTCAATCTTCCCCCAACGCACTTCCCCCCCTCCTACCCGTGTGGCTGGCAGGTGCTGTGTGCGTCCAACGAGGACCACACGGTGTGCCGCCCCGTGCAACCACCCGAAGGGGCTGCCATCGGCGAGAAGATCACTTTCGCTGGGTGAGGCGGGGAGGAAGGGTGATAGAGTAGTTGAAAAGAGAAGAGGGAGAGGAGGGCGGGCGATGGGGAAGAGAAGGTGGGGAAGTGCAGCAATGGCGAAAAGATGGAGGGTGCTGCCATCGGCGAAAAGATCGCTTTTGCAGGGTAGGCGGGCCATGGGTGGGGCATGGGGGATGACAGGAGGGAGGTGCGTTAATAGAGAATGTGAGGGGAGGGAGGGAGGGAGGGAAGGGAGGATAGGTAGAAGTAGAAACCGTCAAGAGAATTTGAATTACAAGTGAGAGTTTGACTCTCAATCCACTCTCTCCCTCTACTCCCAACAGCCTTCTCAATTTCCTTCTCTTCCTTGTCCCGCGGCCCTGCTCACCCGCTCCTCCCTCGATGTTCCTCTCCCTGCCCCGTCTCCCAACCATTCGCATTCACTGCATCAGAGAATCTGTTGCAAGCCTGCGGAGGTGGCCTCTGTTCTGCAAGTCACCCATACCTTCCTCTCTGCATCCTTCCTGCACCTGCCCATCTCCATATCCCCACCTGCCCGTGCCCTCCCCCCACCTGCCCGTGCCCTCCCCTTACCCGTCCATTCCCGCATCACAGAGTGGACGGCAAGGCAGAGGAGGTGCTCAACCCCAAGAAGAAGCTCTTCGAGAAGCTGCCCCACCTGCCCATTCCCCCATACCCCCACCCACCTTGTACTCCCACCCACCACCCCCACCCCCACATGTCCCTGTCCTAATCACACAGAGTGGACGGCAAGCCCGAGGAAGTGCTCAACCCCAAGAAGAAGCTTTTCGAGAAGCTCCAGCCGGTGCGTGCCTTGCTGCCCCTTATCGTCTCCTCTTATCTCCCTGTTTGCACGTCATCCGTTCCCTCCGGACCCCCACACCCACCTTCCGTTGCCCCCCTTTCCGCCCCTTCGTCCCCCCTTCCTCCCCGGTCCCCACTTCCCCATCCTCGGCCCCTTGTTTTTTCGGAGCCCCACTTCCCCGCCATAGCCCTTCCCGCCCCCCCCGTCCGTGCTTGCGCACAGATGATGGAGCCAGGTTCTAGGACACACTCCTCATGACGATGTCTTGACCCTTCCGTTCTCACTCTCATTCTTCACGTGCCCTTCCTTTCCGCCAACAACCCTACTCCCCCTTTCCGCTCCCCTGCACTCCATAGCACTCCTGTGCACAACCCCCCCCCCCCCCCCCCCTCTCCCTCCCCCCTTGCACTTATCCCCTTCCTGTGCGCCCCCACCAGTTTCTGCGCACGGACGGCACAGGGGTGGCCATGATCCAGGACACGACCATGATGATAATCTTTCGTCCCCCTTTCCCCACCTTGCCCTCCCGTTCACACTTTCCCGTCCCTTCCCTGCCCCCCCGCATCAGTTTCTGCGCACGGACGGCACGGGGGTGGCCATGTTCCAGGACACGCCCATGATGACGTCAGCAGGGCCCTGCACATCCACCATTGTGAATGCCAGTGTCAAATAGGCGGCACGACATCCGAGTGCTCCCCAGTGTTCTCTAAACCCTTGAGCTGGAATGTATTTTCGAGGCTTGCAAAACAACTTGCCTGGTTGTGATGTGAACGCGAGTGTCAAGTAGGAGGCACAAAATCGTAACATCATCAGGGTAATAGGTAGTTATCTCATCTATGTCCCCTGGGAGGGATTCCTCTCAAAAGTACCGTAATCTGTTGTGCAAGAAGGTTCCATAATCTTCTAGTGACTGACTTTGGACCAGGCTCTGCTGCTCGGCGCTACCATGTGTTGTCCATGGCTAAGGTCGTATCCCTCGCTGGTGGCAAGAAGTTGGTGGCAAGAAGTTTCCGCGCGCGATTGGTCCAAAACAGACGCCCGGCCAATGCGATTGGTCAAGCGGTTTTTTTAACCAATCGCGTGCGCAAACTTCTTGCCACCAACTTCTTGCCACCAGCCAGGGATACGACCTAAATGGGAGAAACAGGGAAAAAAAGTTCCATACCCCGCCAAACCTACTACGGTACAATGTGAGCGCGTAGTGTAATGGCTCTGATTTGGGTTGTTTGTATTGCACACATCTTGCTGTGTTTGATTTGATTCTTGATGTCAATACTCGAGAAGGAACACAACCATAAGGGCAACCAAAGAGATTCCACCAGCCGTGCATCCTATGCTGCTCTGTTCGCACAGTAACCTCACAGCACATTCATCCTCTAACCTACATTCCGCACGAACATCCTGCGCCTGAGCATTTTTCTCCACACCCGCAGCTAGCGCCAGACGCGCACTTCACTCCCCCAGTCTCTCCGCAAGCGCACCCTCCGCCAGAGCAGCTCTCCCCGCAGCGGCAGTTAGCGCCAGACGCGCACCCGCCACTTGTGCCCCCTCCGCAAGCGCAACCCGCGCCTGAGCAGCGCTCCCCGCAGCTGCAGTTAGCCCCGGACGCGCACTTCCCTCCCGCCTGCCCTCCCGCCTGCCCCCCGCAAGCGCAGCCTGCGCCGGAGCAGTCTTCCCCGCAGCAGTAGCTCTTGCCAGAAGCGCAATTGCCGGCGCTCGCGTTACTTCCGCCGCATCCTGCGCCGGTTCCTCCGGCGCTGCCGGCGGAGCGGCACGTGCACGAATCGCACGCGCAGCCCGGGCCGCACCTGCACGCGGCGCCGTTGCTGCAGGCGCAGGTGGCGGCGGCTGTCGTTTTGCAGGCGCAGGTGGCGGCGGTTGTCGTCTTGCAGGCGCATGCGATGTTGCGCGCGGAACAGGCGCTGCCAACAATGCCACCCGCGCAATTGTTGGTGGGAGCCATTGGGACTCGCGGATTGAAGTCGAACGTAGAAGACGTAGCGCAACTAATCTCAGTTTCTCAGCAGCGCGTAGTCGAATCAATGTAGGAAACTCTAAGCAGCTGATCGACTGGCGATATCTTATCAGGAATGCTAATCAAAGCGTAAGTGCAAATGTGAGCAAGAGAGCAAGCGTAGTTGGTGACAAATTGTTTGATGACGATGGGAAGGACTCGTTCCATATATATGCTTTTCCCGATGCGATGCGTGAACCACAATTCAAATTTGTGCGACTCGGCGGTAGCCTGAAGCAGCAGCACAGCCATTGGCTAGCGTGCTGGGGGCGTTTGATTTGAACACTCCAACGGTGATCAAGCTTCTAGAACGTTCGATAGGCGCTATTCGTTGCTTCCGCCTTCCTTCCTCAGAGGCTCGCCGAAGCAGGCGACCTCGATATGACGGGGTTTCTCTGCTGCGTGAGAAGCTGTTGGCTGGCAGGACTTTTGAAATGAGGTTACGGTATATATTTCTCAAACATAAATAGCCACAGTGAATAGCATATGCCTTTTTTTTTGTGTGATTATGCAGTAGTCATTCACTTCCAATCACATATTCAGTCATGTACAGTTCAACTGTACACTTCTGTACAAGAAAATTGTGAAGAGACTACAGCAATTCCCGTAAGTTCTTAGTATATATCCATGTCTTGCATGTTCTTCCCCAAGTGCCTCAAGTCAAAAAGGTGGCGCATGGTTGGCCGACCATGGGGACAATTCCAAGGTGACTGCAACGTTGACAGCTGGCATAGGATCTGAAACATCATGCAGAAGAAGTAAAACTATTTGTCAATATTGACGCAGCAAAAAAAATAAAAAGAGAGAATTTTAGCAACGAAAAGAGCCACGTATTGATGGACGAATCATGATACGGTACCTTGCTCATCTGCGCCGGGCTGAGCGCCGTCCCAATCATCACAGAGCTCCTGCACGCCCTTGATGCCAGCATGGCCCGCACCCGTGATGGCCGCACCGCCACAACCGTTGCTGCCGATGCCGATGCCGATGGTGATGAGGACGCTGGTGCCGCTGCAGCTCCAGACCTCCCTTCCTGTGGAGAAGCACCCCCCGCCGTGCCGCTCTTGTTGTTGATCTCACTGCGCCTTGGTTGTGGAGTGCTCGTTGAGTTCTCATGCAGCGAAGCTTCTTGGTGGTTTCCGGCACGAGATGCACCACCCATTGCATCTTTTGTGGCGGTGGTTGCATGAAAGCGGACAGCGTCAGTGGCAGGGGCAGGGCCAGCAGGTGTTTCTGGGTCGGGGAGGGGTGCGTCTGCCAGCATTGATATGAGCTCGCACACGTCTGGATGAAGGGAACAAAAGAACAGGAACGGGCACCGTTTCAATTTTGGTGAAAGGAGGAAGAGACAATCACAGATGAGAGGGGCAAAGTGCACGATGGTGAACATCATTAAGTGAAAAGGGTGGGCAAATGCGGAATGTTTGTGCACTCAATATTGGTACACAGATTGGCAGCAAGGCATGTAGCAGCAATAGAGGCGTTTATTAGTGTTTGAAGACCTGAGAAATAAAGAGCACCGGACCATCTGAACCTATGACAGACAGGCCAAACTCACCAGAAGCACCGAATACGATGTTCTTCGAGAATGGGACGGCAGAGAGGCGGAACCGACGGCCGGATGGAGCACTCTCATCCACGGAAAAATGGAAGCCATTGGATCTGATGATGAGAGGGGTGGATTGAGGTGAGAGTTGGGCAAAGTAGGCAGTGGAGAGGAAGGGTGACGAGACCGAAGGGCCGATGAAGGCAAAAGAGAAGGGGAGGGCATGAGGGATGTCAACATAGAGACGTATCGAAACTCGATGTATAAAGAGAGGAGGGAAGGACATGAGGGAGGGATGTTTACTTGCGGAAACATGAAAGGCCATAGCAATCGGTCAAGGACGCGACTATAAGAGGGGATGACAGAAACAGAGTGCAGGAGAAGGTGGGAAAGAAGAAGAGGGGTAATGTAGAAGTGGAAATCAGTACATCTGTGCTCTACACTGAGTGGTTAGGTGTGATGCATGTGTGTGATGGCAACATGACAGAATTAGCTACCTGTCCTGTATGTCTGAGTTTAAAAAGGCGATCACATGACACACATTACTATTGTGTGCACCTGAATGTGGGCATGTGAGCCGATACAATCACTTCTTCTGCTGGTGACAAATCCAGCCGTTGCGGCCTGCAGAGACAGTCCAGGGCAGTTGCAGAGAGAAAGCATAGATAAGCAAAAAATATGATGAAATAACGAGAAGCGGGACACAGAGAAGGGAGCAAAGAAGGAAACAGGCGAGCATCACCTAGAACCGCTCATAAGCCATGGATGCAGCGAAAAGCGACACGCGGAGCGCTCAGGATGCATGCAGAGGTGGATTGAGCGGCACAGAGGCTCCTGGTTGACAACTGTGGATTGCACATTTAACGTGCGAGGGACACAACAAAATTGACTTATAGATGGGATGGAAATACGCCCTCAAAATAGCACCACTCACTCTCTCACTCGCACCACTCACTCTCTCACTCGCACCACTCACTCTCCCACTCGCACCACTCACACTCGCACCACTCACACTCGCGCCACTCGCACTCACACGAGCAGCGGTTGCCTGTTGAGCACGGTGCATCGCATGAGGCGCTCGAAGTTGAACTTCTCATCCGATGCATGCTGATGGGCCATTGGGGTAGGGGGGAGATTGGACGAGATGGCATGTGAAAAGGAAGGTCGTATGGACGCAAACAAAGAGAATGACATACTGAGGAGGAATGAGTTAATGGCTCTGTTCTGTAGGCTCCGGCGGTGGGGGGGCGAGGGGAAATAGGTAGCTTCCCCCCATTGCGTTTTTTGGTTTGGGGAGCGGTCAGCCCGGAAAATGGTGTCGAGACAGCCATTTCCCCTCCGAACCTGTTCGAGGGGAAATGGCAACAGAACAGCCATTTCCCCTCGAGGGTTTGAGGGCCACGGAAGCACCCAACTTCCCCTCCGCACCTTCCTTCTCGGGCAACAATCTCGGCCCTCGCCTTGCCCTACGAAACCACCTTTTTCGTGGTTGGGCGACGGCCAGGGGACGGATGTACTGGGGGTGAGGATACCAACCTGCTACCCTAGAAAGCCACCTCATCCTGCTGCGCTTAACCCAACCAGCGAAGCACCACCCCGTCGAAAAAAAAAAAACCCAACACCATCTTGCACAAAGTGAGAATTGGGCGTTGGGTTTGCTTTTGGTTTTTCTGATGCAAAACACCCTTTTCGAATTTCGTACCCTCATCCTCGGTTTCCGCAGTTTGGTATACCCCTGCCTAAGGGGCGCGAAATTGAACATGCAAATTCGCCATTTACCGTCGGCACCTTCCGCCCCTCCGCACGAAATTTCTCGCTTTCGGTTGTAGCGGGGTGGGGGAGATATCGACAGGGAAACTGCATAGGAACCGTCGTCATTTACCTTCGACCCCCCTCCTCCCCCCAACGGCATGTGCCTACAGAACAGAGCCAATCTGAAACCGTTCTCTAACTCATACTAAGAGACACGCTGTACCTGATCCACGATGAAGAGATCAGATCCCAGCCGTCCAATGATGAACCCAAGGTTGAACTGGCCAATCACGGCCATGCTTGCAAAGTCGCGCTTGTCAAACCGCCTCTCTAACTCCCTCGCTGCCGCCTCCAATGCCGCCTCCTTGCCCTCCCCCTCGCCCTGCTGAATCTTCCTTCCACCACTGCTGTGTGCAGCGTTACCCGCACCATCTGCCACCGACGCTGCTGCAAAACTACTCTGCCTCTCGCCCCTGCTGCTCCCTCCCACTCCCTTTCTCCCCTCCCTCCCTGCTCTCTCCTCCCTCGCCTCTCTCTCCCGCATCTCAGCTCGTCGCCGCCACACCTGCTGCACGCGTCTCATGTCGAATTGCACTTGCACGCTGCCCTCTCCGCCCTTCACCTCCCACCCCCCCCCTGACCATGCCACTCGGTTCGTACCCAACGCAGCCCCCTCTTCCGCCATTATTCCTTCTATCCTCTCCCCTCCTTGGCTTCTCTCTTGTCCCTCGCCCTCTTCCAACTCCCCTGTGTGCCCACCGCAACATCTCCCCTTCCCTGCCCCCTCTGCCACCGCCTCCGCAAACCTTTCCTGCTGCCCTGCCAACTGGGTACCGGGCAGCAGTTGTGAACCCATCAGTTCGGGCAGGTCGGCCTGGGTCATTTCTTGAGTCATCAAGGGCAGATCCAGAACATTTTTACCTGCCCACTCATCTCGGGTTGCCTCCTGCAAGGCACCATCAACCCCACATTGGGTAGCATCATTCCTTTCCTCATCGTGCCTCCCACTCCTTTCCACTTGCATTCCTCCTCCCTCCCCACTTACCTGCTCCACTTCCCTTACCTCCTCACTATCCTCATCCTCCTCTCTCTCATCCTCCTCCCTCTCATCATCCCCCTTCTCATCCTCCTCTCTCTCCACCACTAACCGCTTCAAATCCTTCCCACCCTTCTCCGCCCAAACCTTCCCCCCAGCTCTCTCCCTCACATGCCCCCCATCCACTCTACCCCCTTTTCTTCCGCTTCCTCCCCCAGTCCCCTTCCCCAGCCACGCATCAAGCCCTGCCTGTCTCCCATCCGCACCTCCCCGCGCCCTTTCCACCCCTCCGCTGATCTCCCCCCTCGACCTTTCCCTCCCCACCCCCCCCATTCCCTTCCCTTGCGCCTGAGAAGCAACCCCCCTCAGGGATCGCTGCCCCTCTCCCCTCAGTGCCCTGCTGCTGCCATCCCTTCTGCCCACATTAGCCCCTTCGCACTCCCTCTCCTCTTCCTCCTCTTCCGCATCTTCTTTCTTTGACACTTCCTCTTCGTCTTCCTCTTCCTCTTCCGCTTCCGCTTCTGCTTCCTCTTCCTCTTCCTCCTCTCGCTGCGCTCTCTGCCAGTCTCTCTCCCGCTCAGCAGCTGCCTTGTGTCGCGTCTCATACCCCTGCCACGCACGCGCTTGCTCCCTTCCACCCACTGCCCCCCGAGACAACGAGATCCGGTCTGCTGTGCCGCCAACACACTCCACACTTCCGCCTCTGCCCTCACTCACACCCACACGCACACCCCCAACCCCACCCACACCAATACCCAAACCCAAGGCCTTGCCCTTGGCCTTGCCTTTGCCCTGGGGGCTCATGAGCAGCAGTCGGCGCATGGCGGCCGCCTTGCTCTCGCTCCACTGCAGCATGCCAGCACCCCCTCCTGCTGCCCCTGCTGCTCCTGCTGCACCACCTGCTGTGCCCCCTGCTCCTCCTGACCCTACTGCTGCTACCTTGCGGGCTTCTCCTCGCCCTCCTACTACTTCCCCTGTTTCCCTTGCCAACCCCCCCACTGCCCCCTCATGTGCTGCTTCACCCACTGCTACCCCTAGCATTGCTTTGTCTCCTTCCTTCCTGCGCTCAAACTGATGTAGAGGCTCCCTTCTGTCGCCCTCCCCTTCCTCCTCCTCCCCGCCTTCTGCCGCCTCCTCCATCAGCCCATCCCCATCCATATCCCCGTTCAACTCATCTCCCCCGCCCCCCCTCCCATCATCATCAGCATCCCCTATTTCACCACCCCCCCTTGCACCAGCAGCAGCACCATCACCACTATCACCACTCACCCTCACTCGCTTCCTCCTCCCCTCCTCCCGCTCCTCTCCCTCTTCACCACCCTCCCTCTCATCCTCCCCACCCTCTACCCCTCTTCCCACACCCCTTCTCACCCCTCCCTTCTCCCCAGCCTCCCTCCTCGCCCGTTCCTCAATCTCCTTCCCCACCGAACCAGCCGGCGCGGCTCGGTAAACATACCTATCCGGAGAATAGAACTCCGATAACGCCGCTCTCAGCCCCGACAGCAGCGCCGCCTCCGAATGCAAAAACACCTTGCGCTTATCGGGGGTCACGTTCACATCATACGCGTCCGCGCTAAGTGAAACGTTTAGGAAAGCGGCGGGGAACTGCAGGGAGTTGAAGGAGCGGTAGAGCTCGTTGAGCAGCTTTGAGAGGCGCGGCAAGTCCACTGGGCGGCCGTTGAGGAAGAAGAACTGCCGGTCGCCCGCTGACCTCCCACTGCCTGCTCCTGGCCTTGATAGAAACCCGGTTACTCGGCAGCAGGAGGCTGGTAGCGGCGCAGAGGCAGTGGCAGCTGCACTGGTAGCAGTGGGAGAAGGAGTAGCAGGAGCAGGAGGGGCAGCGGCGGCGGCAGCAGGGGAGAGAGGGAAGGTGATGTCGACGGGGTCGAGGCCCGCAGCGGCCTTGGCGCCAAAGACAGCGATGATGTTCTCCCGCATCGACCCCGTGCCAGCTGTCTGCACCACAGTGGTGCGCGCGCTGCTCCGCCCGCTCTGATTGGTGCAGAGGATGCGCGCACCTGCGGACACCACGCAGTACGCCTGCAGCACGCTCACCAGCTTCGCAAACTCGCGCCGAACGTTCCGCTCAAACTCCCGCCGCCGCACGGGCAGCGGCGAGAAAATCTTCGCCACGCTGACCGTCGTTCCGACTGCCCGGGCAACCTGTTCCCGAGGGCCGGGCAGAAGCTTTCCCCCATGGTCGAACACCAGGCGCGTTGCGATTGGCTCGTTGGCGGTGCGTGTGGTGATGGTGACGTCAGCAAGGGCGCAGAGGGAGGAGAGGGCTTCCCCTCGGAAGCCGAAGGAGGAGAGCGATTGGAGGTCGGAGAAATGGGCGATCTTGGACGTGTGGTACTTGAGGGTCAGTGCCTGCAGCGGTGCAGAGAGATAGAGAGAGGTCAGGTGGAGTGGAGGGAGGACATGGCAGAGGGAAGGGATTTAGGGTTCAGCACTGAAGCACTTCAAACGCCGAGAAGAGGGTGGACGGATGGCAAGAGCGTAAGATGAAATCCTGTAATAACGCCCCCATTCCCCTCAACACGCCCCCTGCACCACCCTCACTCACAACACCTCCTTGCTTTCAAAATACACCTCCTTTCCCGTGAGTCACGGGCCGTGGCGGCCCATGGCTATTCAGGACTTCACCCGCCAGCTGTCACCCGCCAGCTGTCACCCGCCAGCTGTCACCCGCCAGCTGTCACCCGCCAGCTGTCACCCGTCATGCCACACTCGCTCTGCTCCGACATCAACGCCCCTTGACCGCCCTCAACGCCTCGTGACCGAATGCAACGCCCCTTGACGGCCCTTAAGGAAACCTTGGGCAGTCCAGTCCAAGGCGTCACCTGCCAGTTGGGAGGCGAAACCCCACAGGCGGCGTCTGCCGCCTCGATGAGCTCCTCCCCCCACTCGCGCCGCTCTTTCGCCAACACCTCCACACTCGCGCCCCCCGCGTCCAGCCTGCCCATTGACCGCCCTCTCAACGCCCCTTGCCCGCCCGCTCAACGCTGCCTAGGCAGCTCAGGAGTCGCCTGCCAGTTGGGAGGGGCGACGCCACAGCCGTTGTGAGCCGCCTTGATGAGCTCCGCGCCAAATTCCCTCATTCGCACCTCCACAACCCTGACCGCTCTCAATGCCCCTTCACCGCCCTCAATGCTCCTTGGGTGGCCCCTGTATCACCTGCCAGTTGGGGGGCGCCACCCCACAACCGTTGTCCGCCACTTCAATGAGCTCCGCGCCCCACTCCCCCACCCGCACCTCCACGCTCGCCCACCCTCACCTGACCTCTCGCAAAGCCCCTAGAGCGCCGTTAAGGTCACCTGCCAGTTGGGGGGCGCCACCCCACAGCCGTTGTCCGCCACTTCAATGAGCTCCGCGCCCAAGTCCTTGAGGCGCACCTCCACACTCGTCGCCCCCGCGTCCAGGCTGTTCTCCACCAGCTCCTTCACCGCGCCTGCCACGTCCAGCACCACCTAAGTGGGAGAGAGAGGGGAGGAGGTGGGGGTTTGGGGATGCAAGGAGCATATATCCTACTGCCCGCGTCCAGGCTGTTCTCCACCACCTCCTTCACCGCGCTTGCCACGTCGAACACCACCTGCGCGGGGGATTGGGGGGGCGGGGGGAAGGGAGGGGGAGGGAGGAGGGGGGGGTGTTTGGGTGGGAATAGGCAAGTATCGCACTAGCCGCGTCCGTGTTCTCCGCCAGCTCTGCGACACGTGCCAGGGCTGCGATTCGCGGCGTGGAGTGCGGAGCTCCAAAGCGAGCCAATTTCAAGCTCGCGCAGCGGGGCCAAGGCGAGTGGCGAGGGGGGGGGGCGAAGGACGGGATACTATTGCAGGTCGAGAGGAGCTCAAGGGGAGGAGCGGGGGAAGGGCCGAGAGACAAACTGCGCGTCGCATACGACGTCTTGCCGGTGGTGCTGGGTGAGGAGGGATGCAGGAAACTGTGCGGCAGTTATTTGGCCACACGAAAGGCTATTGCAGAATAACGACGAGACTAGTTAAAGGCTTGGCCTATCGGGCTCACCTGCCCCGAGCATATGCGGTGAATGGCCGCTTTATCTATTGCCCGGATCACGGTGTCCCTGCCGCTGCTGGCGCTACCGCTAGCGCCAGCGTCATTGCTTGTATTTGCCGGCATACAGTGAGCTGGCATGCTCTAATAAACGGTGACCAGTGAAACGGTATACAGGGACTGTCCGCAGAGTGTCTTGTACTGCTCTGTGTGGAAATGGCGGCTTCAACGTCACGCATTTTGCGAAAGGAGAAGCGAGCTTGCGGGCAGTTCGTAGTCGTGAGATAAGGGCGCGGCTCGAAGTTGTTCACGATGTTTTCGAGGAAGGGAAGTTGGAGGGTCTCAACATTTTTTTCGTTGTCGACGAACTCGGTATTCGTCCACTCGTTCGGTTGCACAGTATTGTCGAGCTGTAGATGGAACATTTTGCTAGGCTCGCGAAATTGCGAAAACAGATTGACCACTGTTTGAACACTGTTCGAGGTGTTCGTCGAATACTGATGAACGTTCTGAACAATTGTGAACCAGGCCCTTGTACTTCGGATTCAAATTCGAAAAATCCACCTGTACGCCTTTCTATGGTCTGCGTTGAGGGGGATTGGAAAAATATTCCAGCCACATATTTCCTTATCAAGCAACCATGTCATATGAGGGAGTTTCACACTCAATATGTGCCAATTATTGCAATCTAGTACTATATAATGTTATTCCCGTCAGTGAACGTATCAATACCAATGGTGGTAGTAGCAGCGTACTTTGATTTTTGTACAATTGAGTGAAGGAACGAAGATTGCATTATCGTATCAACTGATAACATATGCAAATGCATGAGCAAATGTTATATAGCGACACAAACGGAAACGGTAGCACGTGTAAAAGTGGGTTGCTCTACAGGCCTAGCACCGAGGTTGGGACATTTTGTAGGCACATGGCCCAATCACGCGTTACTAGATGAGGCGTGCGGCGTAGGTAGGGCTGACGTTTCAATTAGGGCTCCCTGATTCCTTGTATTTTGAGGGCATATTTCCCCAAAAAACGCTACTCTGATTGCTCAGTGTCCAACCAAATCCTACCCTTTCACACAAAAAAATCTGGGTTGAATTATTTTCAGCACTATGATTTTTATAGCGGGTAACAGCATGCAGCACGTTATCTACACTATCTAGTGCATGGGCTTGTCAATATGGAACACCTCCTCCACATCCTCATGTCCGAGAGGAAAGGGTTATCCTCCTCCTCCTGTTCCTCCTCCATGAGCTCCTGATCTTCGCCCACTTCCCCATCCACATCCTCTTCCTCTCCCTCCTCATCCTTATTCTGCCCAGAAGCGCCTGCCTCATCCTCACCCTCCTTGGCTTTTCCCTTCCTCTTGCGCTCTGCCACAGCCAATTTCATGCTCTTCGCAGGGCGCCTCCTCATGAGAGACTTCTAGACATCCAGGGCCTCCGGCCAGTCAATGTCGTACTTCAGGAGCGAAATCAGCATCACCTCGCCTAGCAGCGCGTTGCAGAGCGCGCCTCGCACCCACGGCTTGATGACGCTTTGTCTGGAGAAGCCCCTCTCGCACCCCATGTTTGACAGCGGCAGCACTGCGATCGCCTGCTTCAGAAGGAGCAGGTTGGGCCATCTCCTGCCAGGTGTAATCACAAAAGCAAGCTACAACGTGAACATTCAGCAAAGATACGCAGACTACCACGCACAGTTACCTTTTCGAGTCCGCGCTCCCCAGGTTATTGGTGAGTCCCTGCGCAAAGGTCTCCGCCTCGTGGCGCGTCTCCATGATAACACTCCAGGTCGGGAGCTCCCTCTCAGCGGCCTTCAGATCAAATCCCAGCAGCTTGTTGCGAAACAGCTTCTGCATCCGTGGAGCCACTCACGGCACTTCCGCTCCCGTTGCGCCTTGATTTTCGGCCACTTCCCACCCGGAACAGCTTTGAGGGCCTCAGCCTCTGCAGGTCATCCAGCCGCTCGTTAAGGTTGTCGACTCAATCGCGCGTGAACATGCGGCACAGCTTCACGCAGTCTGGGTAGGTGCTTCCGAACTTATGGCCCGGGAGATGCCTCTCGTGCATGGTGTACATGTGGTTGATTGGCCGTCCCTCCCTATCCACACCGGGCACCCACACCTTCTGGCCTCCGCCATGGCCGTGCAGCTGCAGAAAGCTTACCAGCCAGCACTTGCCCTCACGCATCAAGGACCTTACAGAGCCGACGCACCGCATCACCTCTTGACAGCCATCGAACAGTGTGGATTCCCTGGACTTCAAGATTGGTGTTGTAGATGACTCGTTGCAGGTACTTGAAGCGTTGACTCCAGATGCATGGCTTTCCGAGCTCAGCCGCAACTGTGTGCACCACCTTGTCCACCATATCCAGGTCAGGGTTTGACGTCGCAGCGTCCTTCACAGCGAGTGCTTCCCTGTTGAAGGCATCAAAGGTTGTGCACGGACAAACAATAGATTAATAGTAGTTTCGGCTACTGCACATCAACACGTATAGCAGACTCACCTGTGGGCGATGCAGTGACAGGAAAACAGATGCGGGACGTCGTCCCGTATCCGCGCCACCAAGCCGTTGGCCTTCCCCAACATGACCGACGCCTCATCCGTGCTGACTCCCACCACCTTGTACAGGTCGACGGCTGCATGGCGAATGAGTTGATGAAGTTTGCAATTATATGCTGCCCGTTCGCGATGCCCCTCGCGATGGCCGACTGCCGTTTAATCGCCGCCGTGTGAGCATCCGTGTACTCGTGAATCCGGAATGTTTGCATCTGCAGGTAACGGCCACCATCTTCACCTGGTCTGGAATAGTGCGTGTTCTCCTTCCCGTATGACATGCACACACTGCACATCACATAGGGGTAACCGTCCTTGGTCTTGCCCAAAACAAGCCACGAAAACTGGCCCGGCCATTTCTGTTCGTAGTTGATACTCGCCTCCACGTACATCTGTTCGATGAGCTCCTTCTTCGACGGTTCAGGTGAGCCAGTGTCCGCGCGGACAGGTACCTTCGTTGATTCAGGGGCAGGCGGTGGATCAGCAGGGTTGTCGGGCGGCGGCGGAACACGGCGGCCTCCGATGACCAGGACACTCTGCGCCCACTTCCCATTCCGCGCTCGCTTTGGGCAGGAAGAAGCCGACAGCGGACCAACTGAAACGTGTTGCGTGGATGATGCAGGGCTTGGCGCGGCTGGTGGGGGGGATTTACTGGAAGAAGCAACAGCCGGGGGTAGAGCGGGACGAGAAGTATTGGTCGGTGAACTAGTTTCCCTCGCTGCAGAGTCATGGACGGTGGACCTAGGAGGATCAGGAGTAAATGGAGCAGCGCTAGTTCCAAGAAAATCCAGCCCAGACCAATAGGCATCGTTGGCTTTCTCTGGCTGGGTGCGCTCCGAAGGTTTCAACGGTAACGGTGGCTCATCTGAGCCAGGCTGAGGAGAGTCGTCGTCGGCCTGCTGGCCTTCCATGGCGACAAGAAGCTCAGAGAGGGGGTGCGAGAGAAACTGTAAGAATGAAAGAACGAAATGAAAATAACAGCTGCAGCTCCAGTACAACCCTGGGAGGGATGGGGAAGCACGAGATCGTTCGAGAAGAGGGGGTCAGCAAGAAACCCCGCGTCACCCCAAAAGTGATGGCTCGATGTTGACATCGTCGAGTCGTCAATGTATTCGGCCCTCCATGCAAGGCCGAATACATTGGATGACATGTTGCCTGCCAGCGCCGACTGCCAACAAATGTCTCTCGCCAATGAGGGGCACGAGTTGTGCATTGTGCGGTGCGCATCGCAGAAGCAATGCTGTTTTGGGTTGTGCTGTCGTAATTGAGAACTATGTTGTACAGCCACACTGTACAGCACACCGTGGTGTTTGTTGTCTGTAGTCCATGCCGGACCGGCTGCATGCGAGGCTCGCGCATGTCGGCATGGACACCATCCGGAGCTCTGCGAAGCACGAGGTCGCCACTTGGCTGGACCTCAAGCCGGCGTCCGACGCCGACTCACCGCGCGTTTCGTGCGTCGGCGGGAAGATGGCGCGGCACACCTTCCCCGACCAGGGCTCCGACGTTGACGACGTGTTGGCTGTCATGCACATCGACCTGTGGGGGCCGTTTCGCGTGACTGCCAAGGATGGCAGCCTGCACTTCTTGCTACTGAAGGACCGAAAGACCCGCTATGTTTGGGTGAGGCCAGTCGCCAAGAAGTCCGACGTGCTGCAGGAGTTCCAGCAGTGGCTGGTGGTGGCTGAACGGTAGACCAAGAATTCGGTGCTGATTCTGCGCTCTGACCGGGGAGGGGAGTTCCTCGGGAAGGAGTTCACCGCTTTCGTGGACGGCAAGGGAATCATCCACGACCTCATCGGCCCGTACACCCCGTAGCAGAACGGCATGGCAGAGCGGGAGATGAGGACGGTGGTGGAGTTGGTGCGGACGATGCTGCTGCACGTGGGCGTGCAGCACCACTGGTGGCACCTTGCTCTGCGGCAGGCCGTCTGGGTCCGCAACCGCCTTGAGAGGTCGGCGCTGCCGCTGGAGACGACGCCGTACTAGCTGCTGACTGGGAAGAAACCCGACTTGTCGCTGGCACGGGTGTGGGGCTACATGGCGCAGTTCCTGGTCCCCGAGCAGCAGCGCGGCGGAAAGCTGAAGCCGAAGGCCCGATGGGGCCTTCATCTTGGTGTGTCGGAGGAGAGCAAGGGATGGGAGCTCCTCGACATCGCCGACAACCGGGTGGTCACCACGTCGGATGTGGTGTTTTACGAAACAATGTCGCTGGAGGTGTGGAAGGTGGAGCACGGGCCGGCGTCGGGGCGGACGCCGGTCGACCCGCTAACGGACACCTCGACGGCGACGCTGCCTATGCTCGCCGAGGTCGGTGAGATTGCTGATAAGGACGCCGAGGGTGTCCACCCTCCCTCCCTTGCGCTTGCTTGCCCCTTGTCGCCGACCTGCGTGGGCTGACTCCGGTGTCGGCCTCCGACGATGAGGGGAGAAGTGAGGCGTCGCCTGTGGCGCCGGCCAAAAGCATCGCCGGTGGCTATCGTGACGCTATGAAAGTCGGCGTGGGAGCGAAGCTGACGCCGACCGGGGAGCAGCAGGCCGAGGAAGTGCAGCCGACTTTGGTGAAGCCTGCGAAGGAGGCACCAGCAGGGCAGCAGCCAACAGGGGAGAAGGCAGCAGTGAAGCCGACCAAGAAGCAGTCGGCGACCGGGGAGCCGGCCGCAGGGGAGAAGTCAGCAGGGACGCTGGCCGTGGAGCAGCAGGGCGCTGATGGAAGCAACGCCGGTGACGATGGAGGGGACGTCGAGGAATCCACCGACAGCGACGTGGTGGAGGTCCAGCCTGGACCACGGCGTACAGGCCGACTTCGGAGGCTGCCCGAATTCTTCGTACCGACTGCCTTCACCACGATGACGACCTGTTGTATGACGACGCCGAGGAGGATGAAGAACTGCCAGAGCTAGACCCCAACATGCACGCCGACCCCGAGCACCGCTGGGACATCTCCACGATGACGGTGAAGGAGGCGTTGGCGAGCTGGAAGGGCAAGGCGGTGAAGGCCGCCATGGAGGAGGAGATCCGCAGCCTCATCGGCATGGGGACCTGGAAGCTGGTCGAACGCCCACCTGGGGTGAACATCATGAAGAACCGATGGGTGTTGACGACGAAGTACCGCATCGACGACGCCGTCGAGCGCGAGAAGGCGAGGCTGGTCGTGAAGGGCTTCACGCATGTGTATGGCGCCGACTACGACGAGACGTACGCGCCGGTGAGCAGCTACGTCACGCTGAGGTTCTTCCTCAACCCACCTCAGCTCGACATGAAGAACGCCTTTCTGCAAAGCAAGCTCGACAAGGTGTTGTACATGTATCAGCCGGACTACTTCAACGACGGGACCGGCCGGGTGTGCAAGCTGTTGAAGAGCCTTTACGGGCTGAAGCAGTCGCCGTTGCTGTGGTACAGAGTTCTCGACGATGTGCTGCTGGGCGCTGGCTTGAAGAAGAGCGAAGTCGACACGGTGCTCTACTTCAAGGTCGGCGCGGACGGCGTGGCCTGCTGGGTGCTGGTCTACGTCGACGACCTGCTCGCCGCCAGTAGCAGCACCGAGATGCTGAAGGAGCTGAAGGAGCTGCTGGAGGCCGCCTTCGTGCTGCGGGAGATCTCGCCCGTGCAGAAGTACCTCGGGCTGGAGATCGTGCGTGACAGGCCGGCGAGGAAGCTGTGGCTGCACCTGCAGGGCTACGCCGACAAGCTGCGCAGGCGGTTCCTCAATGAGGAGCAGACCGGGCGCACCCGGAAGACGCCAGTCTCGGTCAACGCCTACGCCAAGCTCACCTTCGACGACGAGGAGGCACAGGAGCGCCAGGAGGAGGAGTACCGGCAGAAGGTCGGCTCACT